CTTTTTTTTTTTTGGCCCGGCCGGGCAAGTGGACCCGGGCCACTCTGATAGCCTAGGTTTTGGTGCTTTTTTTTTTTCCTTTTTTTTTTTTTTTTCGAAAAAGCTATATTCTTCTCTCATCTATCTCATTTTTCTTGCTAGTACTCATCTATCTCATCCTCTCACTATTCTATATATAGTATGGGGGAACACCAACCAACCCGGATCTCTCCCCAGCCCACGGGGTAGGTTGGCACCACAGCAGTGGTGCGAGAGCAAGGCTGTACCAGTCCCTCATAACGGTGACGAGGGGTGGGCAGGCATAGCCGATGTGGGAAATCGGCGGTGCTAGCGCCGAGCAATGGGCAGTCACTGCACCTCCCCCTACCCCACCCCAAACCCCACATGGTGGTGTCTAATGGCCAATATTGTAGCTGCATAGTAACCAACAACATCAACCAGGGTCCTGCCAATGCTGGCTTGGGGGGCCAACGGGCTATCTCTAGCTGGTAGAACACCATAACTGAGGGCGTGATGATATGCGTTTTCCTTCTTTTTTTTTTCCCTTTTCTGAGGAGTGCCAGAAAAGGAAATGCAATGGAACCCAGGGCGGGCAAAACTCAGTGCGCAGTGAAATTCCTTAAAAGCCAAACACGCTGGGAGGTAGTGGTGGCTGGAAGTAAGGGCATCGCCACCACAACACTCTCGAAATGTGAAAAAGACAAAAATGTGGAGGGTGCATCTGGCCATTCTCTAGTGGAAAGTTCATTCTCATTTTGCACACTTTGAGAGTGAAGTGGTGTGGTGATTTCCTAACGTTATGTTCATCTCTGTCGCTGTCCGTTTCCATGTTGCAGGACCGCTACACCCAGGAGTTGGCGCTCGGCTACACCCTACACCCAGGAGTTGGGGCTCGACTACACCCCATCATCACATGGGAAACCATCTGCATTTCATTTCACTTCATTTCATTGAATGCCACAGGGATAATCAACCTACTTCAGATAAATAGTTTGCCATTTAAGAAATGGAAATCTTTGCCCTACCATGCAGTCACCTCTGCACCGCTGGACCCGTTTTCCAGCAGGTGATGCTCCCCACCAATAGATGGAGCCTCGCCTCGGGTGCTATTGGTGTCTGGCCTTGTCAGCACCACTAGCACTGCAGGGGTGTTTTTGGTCAAAAACACCCCTGCAGTGCTAGTGGTGCTGACAAGGCCAGACACCAATAGCACCCGAGGCGAGGCTCCATCTATTGGTGGGGAGCATCACCTGCTGGAAAACGGGTCCAGCGGTGCAGAGGTGACTGCATGGTAGGGCAAAGATTTCCATTTCTTAAATGGCAAACTATTTATCTGAAGTAGGTTGATTATCCCTGTGGCATTCAATGAAATGAAGTGAAATGAAATGCAGATGGTTTCCCATGTGATGATGGGGTGTAGTCGAGCCCCAACTCCTGGGTGTAGGGTGTAGCCGAGCGCCAACTCCTGGGTGTAGCGGTCCTGCAACATGGAAACGGACAGCGACAGAGATGAACATAACGTTAGGAAATCACCACACCACTTCACTCTCAAAGTGTGCAAAATGAGAATGAACTTTCCACTAGAGAATGGCCAGATGCACCCTCCACATTTTTGTCTTTTTCACATTTCGAGAGTGTTGTGGTGGCGATGCCCTTACTTCCAGCCACCACTACCTCCCAGCGTGTTTGGCTTTTAAGGAATTTCACTGCGCACTGAGTTTTGCCCGCCCTGGGTTCCATTGCATTTCCTTTTCTGGCACTCCTCAGAAAAGGGAAAAAAAAAAGAAGGAAAACGCATATCATCACGCCCTCAGTTATGGTGTTCTACCAGCTAGAGATAGCCCGTTGGCCCCCCAAGCCAGCATTGGCAGGACCCTGGTTGATGTTGTTGGTTACTATGCAGCTACAATATTGGCCATTAGACACCACCATGTGGGGTTTGGGGTGGGGTAGGGGGAGGTGCAGTGACTGCCCATTGCTCGGCGCTAGCACCGCCGATTTCCCACATCGGCTATGCCTGCCCACCCCTCGTCACCGTTATGAGGGACTGGTACAGCCTTGCTCTCGCACCACTGCTGTGGTGCCAACCTACCCCGTGGGCTGGGGAGAGATCCGGGTTGGTTGGTGTTCCCCCATACTATATATAGAATAGTGAGAGGATGAGATAGATGAGTACTAGCAAGAAAAATGAGATAGATGAGAGAAGAATATAGCTTTTTCGAAAAAAAAAAAAAAAAGGAAAAAAAAAAAGCACCAAAACCTAGGCTATCAGAGTGGCCCGGGTCCACTTGCCCGGCCGGGCCAAAAAAAAAAAAG